TTGAAAAAGGGGTTGTATATCAAAAAGCAGTTCAATCTTTACGCCTTCTCTTTAATTGTCTTGTTTATAATTTCAAGTGGGCTATGTATTTTTTTTCCTCGCCAACACTCCGTGAGAACGCTTTAGTCTGCCTAAAAGCAAAAACCTGTCACCACTGTTTTTGTTTGATACCCAGAGAACATGATTTAAAACGAATGTCTAACTCATTAATTGGGAAACTTTACTCGAAATTATAGATTCCCACGGGAGCGGGCTATGTTAGAACTTAACATTTTCTATACATACTCGAAGCTTTTGTTACATTCACACCCTCCAATGCAGGCAAACGCCGCTCTCCCCTCCACGAAGTTCACAGATTTTTGTTTGTTCTGCTTTTCAGTTGTTGCTTTCTTTTGTTTCGGACGTGTCGCATTTTTATTCTTCTCGCCCCGCAGACCCACGCGCCGAGGTGACGTCGCTCTTCGGCCAAAACGGAAGTCACGTGGTCACAGATCTTAGATTGTCTGCGGAGAGAAAAATCGATAAATTTCATTGGCCGCTTGCTCACCTGCCGGAAGCCTTTCCCACGCGCTAGGAGAGTTGTGGGTTTCGTCATGCCTGTTGATTTTCTCCCGCGTGAGTGAACTGGTTCTGTGCAAAACAATAAGGGAGACTCGGGGGCGATGAGAAGATGGGTAGACAGAGCAGTGAAAATGGCCCATGATAACTTTCTAAACCAGATAATAAAGACACATTATAAACTGTAGCGAGCACTGATTATAATTTCTATAGCGTGTTCACTTTCGTCTGCCGCGCTTAAAACAAGATAATAATTTAAAAAATCGCTGTTTAATTTTCTCAGATCTTTGCATGCGGGTCTAAAAGTTGGATGGCGAACAGTCTAAAGGCTCATTTTTTAGGATCACTGCAAACTAAGGTTCCAACACGTTTTTATTATGTTAGCCTGAAGCGGGTAAAAAAATAGTAGGGAATTTACAGCACACATCTACAACAACAAATAAAATGACTGACCTATTGTCACCAGAATCTCACTTTGATGCACACCTATGAAACATTTTTGTCTAAACGGACTTGGCTTGAAATCTACAAACCTCAGTGAAATTATTTTTTATTTATTTATTTAATT